CCCAATATAAGTTCCTTCCTGGTGCAATAAAGACAGACTCTGATTCTAAAGATTCCTGACTCAGTGTGTGTTTCTCTCTGGTGGCCAGGAGAAAGGTCTTGGTAATCTACACCCACCATCCCACTTAGCCGCAGGGAGAGCTCAGTGGGACAGGCTCTACCTCAGCCCTATCTGCTGGAGAACCTGGAATAACAACATGTATAATATCAGATGACCATGGCTTATTATGAGAATCCAACAGCAACACTAATTTCAGAAGGCCCACAAACTTATGGAAATTAAACAATGTTCACCTAAATCACCAATGGGTCAAGGAAGAAAAAAAAAGAATTTAAAAACTCTCTCAAATTAAATGAAAATGACCACAAAACATACCCAAATTCATGGGACACATGAAAGCAGTGTTAAGAGGGAATTTCGTAGCAGTAAATGCCTACATAAAGAAGATGGAAAAAAAATCCCACAGTAATGAGTTACCAGAACACCTTAAAACTCTAAAACAAAAAGAACCAAACTAACCCAGAAGAACTAGATGGCAGAAAATAATCAAACTGAGAGCCAAAATCAACAAAATAGAAACAAAGAAAACAATATAAAGAATCAATGAGGCTGGGTGGTAGTGGCACATGCCTTTAATCCCAGCACTTGGGAGGCAGAGGCAGGCAGATCTCCGTGAGTTCGAGGCCAGCCTTGTCTACAAGAGCTAGTTCCAGGACAGGCTCCAAAGCCACAGAGAAACCCTGTCTCAAAAAAAATGAATCCAAAAAAAAATGAATCAATGAGACAAATAATTGGCTTTTAGAGAAAAATAAACAAAATAGACCTTTATCCAAACTAACCAAATGCAGAGAGAGAATATGCAAAACAAAATCAGAAATGAAAAGGAAGACATAACAATAGACACAGAGGAAATACAGAGGATCATCAGGTCTTACTTCAATACCAGTACTCCACAAAATTAGAAAACTTAAAAGAAATGGACAATTTTCTGGATAAATATCCCTCACTAAAATTAAGTGAATACCAGACAAGCAATTTAAATAGACCTATAATTGCCAAAGAAATAAAAGCAGTCATCAAAATTCTTTCAACTAAAAAAAGCACAGGGTCAGATGGTTTTAACTTAGATATCAACAGGATTTTCAAAAAACAAATACCAATACTCTCAAAATGTTCCACACAATGAAAACAGAAGAAACATTGTCAAACTCTTTTTATAAGGCTATGATTACTCTGATAACCAAATGACTACAGGCCTTTACTAAGAAAAAGAAATACAGACCAGTATCACTCATAAATATTGGTGCAAAAATACTCAACAAAATACTGGCAAAACAAGACCAAGAACACATCAGAAAAAACCATTCACCATGACAAAGTAGGTTTCATCCCAGAAATGCATGGATGGTTCAAAATAAAATAATCTGTCAATGTAATCAACCATATAAACAAACTGTAAAAACCCACTTGATCATCGCATTAGATGCTGAAAAAGTTTTCCACAAAATTCAATATCTCTTCAATGAAAAAGGTCTTGGAGAGAGTAAGGATACAACGAATATACCTAAATGTAATAAATAAACGATATCCATTAGTCCAACAGCCAACATCAAACTAAATAAAGAGAAACTGAAAATGATCCCACTGAAATCAGAAACAAGACAAGGTTGTCTTCTCTCTCCATATCTATTCAATATAGTAATTTAGGTTCTAACTAGAGCAATAAGACAGCAAAAGATCAAGAGGATACGAATTAGAAAATCAGTAGAGAAGCTCTCACTATATGCTGATGATATGATAGTCTACATAAGTGACCCAGAAATTCTACCAAGGACCTTATACAACTCATAAACACCTTCAGCAATGTAGCAGGATACAAGATTTTCTAAGAAAAAGAAAATCAGTAGCCCTAATTTACACAGGTGATAAATGGACTGAGAAAGAAATCAGAGAAATATCACGATTCACAATAGCTCCAAATAACATCAAATATCTTGGAGTAACTATAACGAAACAAGTGGAAAGCCTGCATGACAAAAACTTTAAATTTTTGAAATAGGAAATTGAAGAAGACACCAGAAAACGACAAGATCTCCCATGTATTTATGTAGTAGAATTAGCATAGAAAAATGGCCATCTTACCTAAATCATTCTACATATTCAATGCAATTCCAATCAAAATCCCATCAAAATTCTTCACAGACCATGAAAGAACAATATTTAACTTTATATGGAAAAACAAAAACCAGGATAACCAAAATAATACTGTTCAAATAAAGGAACTCCTGGGGGCATAACAACCCCTGACTTCAAACTCTATTATAGGGCTACAGTACAGAAAACAGTCTGCTCCTAGCTTAAAAACAGACAAGAGGACCAATGAAACCAAATCGAAGAACCAGATATTAACCCAAACACCTAAGAACACCTGATTTTTGATAAAGAATCAAACAATATAAAATCGAAAACAGAAAGCATACTGGTGCTGACATTACTGGATAGCAACATGTTGAAGAAGAAAAATAGATCCATATCTATCACGATGAACAAAACTCAATTCGAAATGGATCAAAGACTTCATCATAAAACTAACCATATTAAATCTCATAGAAGTGAATATGGGAATTACATTTGAACACATTGGCACAGGAGGTCACTTTCTAAATATAATGTTAGTAGCACAGACACTAAGAGAAACAATTAATAAATGGGACCTCCTGAATCTGAGAAGCTTCTGTAAAGCAAAGGACATGGTCAACAAGACAAAATGACAGCCTACATAATGGGAAAAGTTATTCCCAACCCCTCATAGGACAGAGAGCTAACCTCTAAAATATACAAAGAACTCAAGAAACTTGTCATCAAAAGAACAAATAATCCTATTAAAAATGGGTGCAGACCTAAACAGAGAACTCTCAACAGAGGGATCTAAAATGGCTGAAAGACACTTATGAAGTGCTCAACATCCTTAGCCATTAGAGAAATGTAAATTAATACGACTCTGAGATTGCATGTTTCACCTCTAAGAATGGCCAAGATCAAAAACACTGATGAAAACTTATGTTTTAGAGGATGTGGTGTAAAGGGACCATTCCTCCATTGTTAGTGTGAGTTTAAACTGCTACAGTCCCTTTGGATTTCAGTATGGTTATTTCTCAGAAAATCTTGGGTATATACCCAAAGAATGCTTAATCATACTACAAGGATATGTGGTCACCTATGTTCATAGCAGCATTTTCATCATAGCCAGAACCTAGAAACAGCTTAAATGCCCCTTGACTAAAGAATGGGTAAAGAATATGTGGTATCTCTATCCATCACCAGATGAAGATTCTATGATGATATGCAAGATATTCGTCAGTATTGCTCTAGGATAGGGTCATTTCAGGTTCCCAATCCTCAGCTGCCCAAGGAACTAACTGGGAACCTCATCTTGGGCACTTGGGAGCCCCTCTAGGGTCAAGTCTCTTGCCCACCCTAAAGTGGCTCCCTTAACTAAGAATTGTGGTTCCGTGCTCCCCTATCCACCTTTCCTTTATCCCAATTCTCCTGTTTCCCCAGGTCCCCCCTCCTTCCCTTCTACCTTTTCTCTCCCCATCTCCCCTTACCCCCATCCCACCCCACCCCCAAGATCCCATTTTCTCCCCGGCAATTTGGTCTACTTCCCTTAGCCAAGAGGATAACTATATGTTTTTCCTTGGGTTCACCTAGACCCACACAGGGGCACTGGACTGAGCTCCCAAGGTCCCAATGAGGAGCAGAAGGGGGGAGAACATGAGCAAAGAAGTCGGGACCACGAGGCGTGCACCCATCCACTGAGACAGTGGAGCTGATCTACTGGGAGCTCACCAAGGCCAGCTGGACTGTGACCGAAAAAGCATGGGATAAAACCGGACTCTCTGAACATGGCGAACAATGAGGGCTGATGAGAAGTCAAGGAAAATGGCATGGGGTTTTGATCCTACTTAACGTTCTGGCTTTGTGGGAGCCTAGCCAGTTTGGATGTTCACCTTCCTAGATATGGACGGAGGGGGGAGGACCTAGGACTTACCACAGGCAGGGAACCCGGACTGCTCTGTGAACTGGAGAGGGAGGGGGAGAGGAGTGGGGGAGGGGGAGAAGGGTGGGAGGAGGGAGAGAAGGGTGGGAGGAGGGGGAGGGAAATGGGAGGCTGGGAGGAGGTGGAAACTTGTTTTTTTGTTTATGTTTTTTTTTCTTCTTTTCTCAATTAAAAAAAAAGATGTGTTTCTTCATCAAAAAAAAGAATATGTGGTATATTTACACAAGGAAATACTACACAACAGAAAAATAATGGTTTGGCTTCTTTTAATTAATAATAGCTGTATTTATTGCCAGTGGACATCTAGCAGCATTTTTTCTATTATTAATGCAGATAAGCATTGGTGTTATCCCTTATAGTTCTGTGCCAGAGCCTTTGAATTCTGTGTGCTGGAAGAATAACATAATCAATATATTGGAAGACTTAAATGTAGCACAGGATATATCAATATCTGTATAGGAAAACCTTCTTTAGTTTTACCATCTTATCATCTAAAAATGTGGTTGCTTTGACTTACATTTCTAAGGCCACAATTTTAAATTCATTTGACAGCACAGTATTATGCTTAGATCCAGAATGTATTTTAAAAGGCATGTCAGGTTGGTTGGATGAATCAAGGTTGGATGAAAAAAGGTTGGTTTGACCTTTACCAACCAAGAGATGTGGATTCAAAATAATAGCTTTGATGCTTTCACAAGGACAGTTCTTTCTTTCTGACAGGAACGCTCAATTCATCATCCCAACAGAACCTGACCTTTAGCCTAATCATATTCGTTTAGGGATATGAGATCATACGCTGTTCAACAGGGCCAAAGAGGAAATACTGAACAGATGCAGGTTGTTGTGGTCCAGTACCATTGGTTGATTCCAAGAAACTCCCTCTAACTAACTATATAAAAAGCTTTGTCAGTTCAGTTCCTTCATAACCAATATCCTATTTTGAGCTTCTACAGAAGAGCAAAGGCAGGCACCACCATGGTAAAGTTTTTGCTGCTGGCTTTGGCATTTGGTCTGGCTCATGCTTATACTGAGGTAAATTTATTTGGTCTGTGCGTTGGATTGATATTTTTCAACAGCATATTTTTGTGGGTATGATGCTTCATTAAGTTTGTCCATTGGAGTCCATATTCATGAAATAACCTTTCTGACATTCACTTATGTGCACTTTTTCAAGCAAATTTTTCTAAGATAAAGCAATGGAAATAAGAAAACGATGGTTTGTGGAGGGAAATGGGAGTCTGGGAGGAGGCAGAAACTTGGTTTTATTTTCCTTTTCTCAATAAAAAAAAGAAAACAATGGTTTTAATTTCAGAACTTAAGAGGCCAGCACATGGGTAGTTCTAAAAGGTCTCAGGTACCGAATGCTATATAAATTGAGTCATCATATTGTCCTGTGTTATTCTACATCCCTAGAAGCATAACTTTTTACTAATGAACACAATATTATTCATTTTATATTTCTAGTTATTTTATGTATTTCCAAAGATTGGGATCAGAGAGGTGAGTACCAACTCATATTCTAATGGTATTTGTGGTTTGTTCAGCTTGAAGGAAAGTGGGTTACCACTGCCATCGCTGCTGACAATGTGGACACGATAGAGGAAGAAGGACCCATGAGACTCTACGTTCGTGAACTTATTTGTAGTGAAGCATGTAGTAAAATGGGAGTCACATTTTATGTCAAGTAAGCAAATTGTCAACTATGTAAACTGAGCAGACTGTTATATGTTTCTCAGCCTTTATGTTGTCAGACTTACAGGGAAACGTTTTTATTTTTCTAGTCATGAAATTGAAGGGCTCATCTTCAGAAATGTGACTATTTTATTACAAGATTGGTTAGCTCTGGACACCATAAGGATGTTACATACTGTCTCCAATTCCCTGAATGTTTCCTTAGAAATCCTTTGGTTGGAGGCCTGTGGTTAAATTTTGTGCTCTAATATTAGATGCAAGTGACTGTAAAAAATCTCATTTCTACTAAGCTGAAGGCTGTGAGCATTGGGTTCATAATCATATGTGTTATATTACTCAGTCAATTACATCATAAATAGTTTTGCACAAACAAGTTATACAAATCTAATTTTCAGATCCCTTTCTTTGATGCTCTCTCTAGTTTCAAAGACACTCCTTAACATTTAGATGACTGTGGTCATTGAAAGGGTATATAAGACCATAAAAACTTAGAAAGCTTAGAACCATTTCTTTCATCTAGTTATGAATGTAAGTTTTAGGATATTAATTAAATCACTTAAAACACGTGCATATAAACCTATGTACATGTTATCATTAGACTAGAATATGAGAATTAAGATATTGAAAATCATGTGCAGTGAATAGTGAAATTTGGATAAGAAAGTCATCAGAGCCTTCAAAGCACTTGGAAATTTGCTACAAATAAAGGAAGTTATGTGTATGATTAAAATAGAATGATATTTTCTAAAAAAAGAATCAAGAGATGTAAGTGGTACTTATGTTCCAGTTCTGCACACTATTCATAGATTCTTTTACTTCATCAAGTTCATTGTAATACTTAAAAATCTCTAATATAAATTAAAGGTTATAAAAAATAAACCAGGGATGTCTGTTTGATTTTTAGTGCAAATGGCCAATGTTCAGAAACCACAGTCATTGGGTATAAGCAAGAAGATGGCAAGTACAGGACCCAGTGTAAGTATGGGATCTGGGGGATTCCTCTATGAACAGAACCATTTTGAATGAGCACATTCATGTTGACACTTCAGCTACTCATAGGTACATGGACTTAGAACAATATCAGCTACTTGTAAATTCATCAGTTCTTCCAACCAACTGAGATATGCTACCAAGTCAGAGTACATTGTAGGTCACCTGAAGTTTTCATAGAGAAGAACACTATTACCTGAAGATATGATTAATGTTAACAAAATGTCTCCAAATAGTTTCCTGCATGAAAATTTATTTCTATATAATATTCAGTGTCTTTTATTTTATTAAAATTTTTATTATTGAAGTATATATTTTCTCTGTTCCCCTCCCTTCCTCTCCCATCCCCTTTTACCCTCTCCCATGATGTCCATGTTCCCAATTTACTCAGAAGGTCTTGTCTTTTTCTACTTCCCATTTAGATTGTATCCATGTATGTCTCTCTTAGGGTCTTCTTTGTTGTCTAGGTAAACTGTAGGCTAGTTTCTCTTTGCTTTATGTCTGAAAACCACTTATGAGTGAGTATATATAAAATTTGTTTTTCTGGGTCAGGGTTACCTCACTCAATATGATGTTTTCTAGATTCATTCATTTGCCTCCAAATTACATGATGTTGTTTTTCCCCACTGTGTAGTACTCCACTGTGTAAATGTACTATATTTTTCTTATCCATTCTTCCAACAAGGGGCGTTTAGGTTGTTTCCAGGTTCTGGCTGTAAAAAATAATGATGTGTTTGTACAGTTCTCTGTTATTAGACAGGCCTGACACTCAATGATAGGTTTCAGTGGCCTCAAACATCTTCTGCAAACTTCTTGCCTCAGGCTCTTAAGCACTTATATTATAGGCATTAACTGCCATACTGGATTTGTGGAAAATTTTAGTGAATGGTTCTAGTTTAAAGCTTCCTATTCCATTGTTTTGTAGGGATCATAACATTTAGATCATTTGATGATAAACTTCAATTTTGAAAAGCTTTTATGGGAAAAACGCTCAAAAATTTCAGACAGACTCCTTCAATTTTACAAAATGAGCTAAAATAATAGCAACAGTATACAACTGAATTATGAATGGGATGACCTTTGGTTTGATCTTAAAAGAGGGGAGAGCAAATCTTCTGTCAAGCTTATTACTTTCCAAAGTTTACATGAACATTATAAAGTATTCCAGTAATAGAAAATTAGTAGATCCTAAAATCATTGTATTTCCTAGGCATTTTTTTATTGATTTTTACTGAGATCTACATTTTTCTCTACTTTTCTCCCTACCTCTTCACTCCCCTTCAACCTTCTCCCAAGGTCCCCATGATACCAATTTGTCACACCTAGAACCTGGAAACAACCTAAATGCACCTTGAGTAAAGAATGGATAAGGAAAATGTGCTACATTTACACAATGGAGTACTACACAGCAGAAAAAATAATGAAATCTTGAATTTTGCAGGTGAATATTGGAGGTAGAAAACATCTTTTTGAGTGAGGTAACCCAGACCCAGAAAGACAATTATCACATGTACTCATTCATAAGTGATTTTTAAACATAAAGCAAAGAAACCACCACACAAATCACAATGCCAGAGAACCTTGACAAAAATGAGGACCCTAAGAGAGACATACATAGATATAATCTACATGGGAAATAGAAAAAGACAAGATCTTCTGAGCGAAGTGCTTTTATCATTTAATCAGTGTCTACAAGAGGAAATACAACACAAACACACACACACACACACACATATGCTCCCCCCCCCACACAAACACAGCAAGAGAGAGAGAGAGAGACAGAGAGACAGAGAGACAGAGTGAGAGAGAAGCAAATGAAGACAGAAAATCTCACACACAGAAAGACAAACACAAACAAAATATGAATGTCTGGAAAACTTAAAATGCTCATTAATATATCTTTGTCATCCATAATCTTACAAGATGAAAATTTTGTGCATATGTCCAATAGTATGACCTTTTTGCATATGTATCATTTTTCCTACCAAGTATTACTATGATATGACACCCAGGTTTTACACTTTCAGAAAATTGACAAGTGGCCTTTTGGATCTGGTGGAAAGGGAAAGGCATACCAATAGAGTGATCCCACAGGTCTTGACAGAAGGAATTGAGAAAAAGAGAAAGTGTCTGTACCTAGGATTCATTATCAGGTTTAAAGATTGGAAATAATTGGTCAATATATTATGATAGGATATACAAAATGAGTGCATCCACGAATACCTTGGCCCATGTATGTCGTATGATAGTGAATCTGAGGTGATTGCTAGAGTCAGCGTCGTTATTAATGTTTAGTCAACATGTCACATCTTACAAAGTAGAAAATGAGTGACACTAAGCTTGAAATATTTCTGTTTCTTCAGTTGAAGGTGACAACAGATTTGAACCTGTGTATGCAACATCAGAGAACATAGTCTTTACCAATAAGAATGTGGATAGAACTGGCCGGACAACAAACCAGATTTTTGTTGTTGGTAAGAATGGTAGTGGGTTTTCTGATGTGGTAGAAAAAAAAGTATCACCCTGCAAATAGAGATTAAGTCAGATTCACACTCCAAGTACAGTATTTCCAAACTCCTCTCCACTAAATGACAATATGATTGTTGTGCGGACCAACTTTTACATTATATCATAATTTGAATAGCATGGTCATTGAAGACTCGGAGTGATGGGGAATGCTACTGGAAGTGTTTATATTAATGTTTCCTTACTGGAAAGAAGGGAACAAATATTATTTGTCCAAAGTTTAGACCATTTTGAGTGTCATTTGGTAAGTGTGTACTAAATTAAATAATGAATTCTAGAGTATAAACTCAGGAGAAATATGAAGGTTCCAGTGATAGGCGTCCATGACTCTCCAGTGTTATATTTTTGAAAGTGCATAGGATTGAGATGAGAGAATTCTCTAGAGAAGTTGTCTTATTTTTTGATATATTATGAAATACTGAAAATTGATGTCATACCACCAGTGAGACTAATTTAAGATCGTACATGGAACTTGGGGGAAATTACTATTGTCTGTTTTGACCAACCCAGTGTAGATGAATTTGGGCAGTTGGGATTTTCTATTGCATATTATGCAGGGACACTGAGGAAGCAATGTAATTTATCCAGAATTTTTGAACATGTCTCTGACATTGTCTTTCATTCAATGTAGGAAAAGGTCAACCTTTGACACCTGAACAATATGAAAAACTTGAGGAATTTGCTAAGCAACAGAGCATTCCAACAGAAAACATCCGAAAAGTTCTGAACGCAGGTAAAGCCAGTGAACAATATTTTAGCCAAAAAAAGTATCTGTCTCTCTCTCTGTCTCTCTCTGTCTCTCTCTCTCTCTCTGTCTCTGTCTCTCTCTCTCTCTCTCTCTCTATATATATATATATATATATTCATAAATTCATGTATGTATATATACATACTTAATATATCTACCTACCTATCTACTTAGTAAGATCCCTGATTTAGATTATGTGTAGTCATATACAATCTTTCAGTTGCTATTTCCAGAAATAATACTTGAGGAGCTGTTCTCATATTCCTATTAAAATATTTCTGTTAATTTTTACCCCATTCATGTTCTTTTACAGATACTTGTCCTAAATAATGACCTTCTGTAGGTAAGTAGAAACAGAATCCATTCCTAATCATCTTGATATTTGAATGGATTCATGCTTATTGCATAAAAAATTAGAGATAAGTATGTCACCAAGAAAAAGTGAACTGAAAATTAGCAATTTGTTGATAGGATATTATGTGTCTTCTAATACAGAAAATCTTACAGAGATAGAAATGAAGGAGAGGATATATTAATTTATAAAGAATATGAAGGATTTTATCTAATTCAGAATCGCTAATTTGTTTATATTGAGGAATAGTTCATCAAGACAATGTACCTTGTTATTTGGAAAATCTTACTTTACTTATGATTGTAGGGTATTCAATGTCACAGATATGCTGCAATCCTGTTGATATTTTCAGTATATTTCTTGAAACCTTTTGATACAAATTTTCATGTAAGGTCACAGAATGTCATTATTTTCAGTCAACAGTGCTTCTATAGAATTGAAAGTACAAAATATTGGTGATATCTAGGAAAGGAACTTTTTGTGTACCATCCTTTCTCTATACTCATTATATTGTTATTTTTATTTTTGCATCCATGAACTCTCAATGATAAAATTATTCCTGTTTGTTCAATCATGTTTTAATTTTTGTTTTTGTGTCTGTACAGATGACAGAAGAAATAGAATTATGCATTATATCCTCTTGACTATGGAATCAGTATCATTTATAGATCATCATTTCCTTTTAAATGAATTGTCTTCTATCCTGTGAAGTCAGAACACCATATACTAAATTCCTGACTTGCCTTTCCACTCTCTTCTTATGATGTATGAACTCTTCTTATTTTGTGAATGATTAAATAAAGTGTTTCAAGAAGCAATAAAGACCTTGTGGAAAGTATCTCATTCAAAAAGCACATAAATATTCACTAAACTAATAAAATAACCACTCTGGTGTAGCAAATAATATCTGTATTACTAAAACCTATCAAAATAATTAGAAAAAAAATAATTAAAAATGTGAAAAATTACAGGAGACCCATGAGTAATAACAGTGAAGAAATAAATTGTATGTTGTGCTTCTGTTAACTTTTAGCTAAATTTGTGATTTGACATTGACCGATCCTAATACTCTAAATGATTTCACAGAAAAAAAAACTGTTTGGGTCTGCCTCCATGTTACACATTATATAAAAAAGAAGATGAAATATGATTTCAAAAGTCTATCTGATGAGATTATCTTTTATTAAATGACTTTAGTGAGCAAATTAATCAGGATATGCTTAAATAGTGTACATATGATTCAGTTGCATTTGAAGAATAAATTCATGAGAATGATATTCCAAAGATGCCATGCCCTACATATATGCATGTGTTTCTTACAATTTTCTCTTTGTTTTACAAAAATTCTTTAGGATGTAGTTATTAGGATGTAGTTATCTATCAAATTAGAAAAGACAGATACAATCTTCTTTAAGGACTTGGAACAAGGAAAAACAAAATATATTAGACACTGTCGCTACATACAGTCTAATGAGGTCTAAAGATATAAAGAAAGCAAAGTGCATTTAATATTCACAAACAAGAAGACCTAATACCTATACTGCTTAATGTATTCCACAATATAGAAACAGAAGGGTCATTACCTAATTCCTTTTATGAAGCTACAGTTACTCTGATACCAAAACCACTCAAAGACTCAACCAGGAAAGAGAATTACAGGCCAATCTCACTCATGAACATCTATGCAAAAATCCTCAACAAAATACTGGCAAACCGAATCCAAGAACACATCCGAAAAAATATCCATTATGATCAAGTAGGCTTCATTCCTGAGATGCAGGGCTGGTTCAACATATGAAAATCTATCAATGTAATCCAGCATATAAATAAACTGAAAGAAAATAACCATATGATCATCTCATTAGATGCTGAAAAAGCATTCGATAAAATTCAACATACATTTATGTTCAAAGTATTGGAGAGATTAGGGATACAAGGGTCATACCTAAATATAATAAAAGCTATATACAGCAAGCCGACAGCTAACATCAAATTAAACGGAGAGAAACTCAAAACCATCCCACTAAACTCAGGAACACGACAAGGCTGTCCACTCTCGCCATACCTCTTTAATATAGTGCTTGAAGTTCTAGCAATAGCAATAAGACAACATAAGAGGATCAAGGGGATTTGAATTGGAAAGGAAGAAGTTAAACTATCGGTATTTGCAGATGATATGATAGTGTATATAAGTGACCCCCAAACTCCACCAAAGAACTTTTATAGCTAATAAACAGCTTTAGTAATGTGGCAGGATACAAGATCAACTCCAAAAAAGCAGTCATCCTCTTATACACAAAGGATATGGAAGCAGAGAAAGAAATCAGAGAAGCTTCACATTTCACGATAGCCACAACAGCATAAAATATCTTGGGGTAACTCTAACAGAGGAAGTGAAAGATCTATTTGACAAGAACATTAAGGCATTGAAGAAAGAAATTGAGGAGGATACCAGAAAATGGAAGGATCTCCCTTGCTCTTGGATTGGGAGGATCAACATAGTAAAAATGGCAATTCTACCTAAGGCAATTTATAGATTCAATGCAATCCCCATCAAGATCCCATCAAAATTCTTCACAGATCTTGAGAGGACAATAATCAAATTTACATGGAAAAAAAAACAGGATAGCCAAAACAATCCTATACAATAAAGGATCTTCTGGAGGCATTACCATCCCTGACTTCAAACTTTATTACAGAGCTACAGTGATGAAAACAGTGTGGTATTGGCATAAAAACAGAGAATTCGACCAATGGAATCGTATAGAAGACCCGAATTTTAACCCACAAACCTATGATCACCTCATTATCAATAAAGGAGCTAAAAGTATACAATGGAAGAAAGAAAGCATCTTCAACAAATGGTGCTGGCACAACTGGATGTCAACCTGTAGAACAATGAAAGTAAACCCATATCTATCACCAAGCACAAAACTCAAGTCCAAATGGATTAAAGACCTCAATATCAGTCCAAACACACTGAATCTGATAGAAGAGTAAGTGGGAAATACCCTACAATAGATGGGCACAGGAGATCGCTTCCTATGTATAACCCCAGAAGCACAGACATTAAGGGCAACATTGAATAAATGGAACCTACTAAAACTGAGAAGCTTCTGTAAAGCAAAGGACACTGTCACTAAGACAAAAAGGCAACCTACTGACTGGGAGAAGATCTTCACCAACCCCGCAACAGACAAAGGTCTGATCTCCAAAATATATAGAGAACTCAAGAAACTAGATTTTAAAATGCTAATTAACCCAATTAAAAAATGGTGCATTGAACTGAAAAGAGAATTCTCAACAGAAGAAGTTCAAATGGCCAAAAGACACTTAAGGTCATGCTCAACTTCCTTAGTGATCAGGGAAATGCAAATCAAAACAACTTTGAGATATCTTACACTTGTCAGAATGACTAAAATCAAAAGCTCCCATGATAGGCTTTGCTGGAGAGGCTGTGGAGGAAGGGGTACCAGCATCCATTGCTGGTGGGAATGCAATCTTGTGCAACCACTGTGGAAATCAATGTTTCGGTTTCTCAGGAAATTCGGGAACAACCTACCCCTGGACCCAGCAATACCACTCTTGGGAATATACCCAAGAGATGCCCTATTATATGACAAGAGCATTAGTTCAACTATATTCATAGCAGTATTATTTGTAATAGCCAGAACCTGGAAACAACCTAGATGCCCTTCAATGGAAGAATGGATGAAGAAAGTGTGGAATATATACACATTAGAGTACTACGCTGCAGTAAAAAACAATGACTTCTTGAATTTTGCATGCAAATGGATGGAAACAGAAAACACCATCCTGAGTGAGGTAACCCAGACCCAAAGAGATGATCATGTAATATACTCACTCATAATTTGTTTCTAGCCATAAATAAGGGTCACAGAGTCTACAATTGGTGAACCTAAAGAAGCTAAATAAGAAGATGAACCCAAGGAAAAACATAAAGTTATCCTCTTGGCTATGGGAAGTAGACCAAATTGCCGGGGAGAAAATTGGGATCTTGGGGGTGGGGTGGGATGGGGGTAAGGGGAGATGGGGGGAGAAAAGGGAGAAGGAGAGGATGGGGAGAACTTGGGGAAAAAGGATGATGAGGATAAAGAAAGGTTGGATAGGGGAGCACGGAAGCACAATTCTTAATTAAGGGAGCCACCGTAGGGTTGGCAAGATTCTTGAAACTAGTGTGGCTTCCAGGAGCCCAAGGCGATGTCCCCAGTTAGTTCCTTGGGCAGCTGAGGATAGGGAACCTGAAATGACCCTATCCTATGGTAATACTGACGAATATCTTGCATATCACCATAGAACCTTCATCTGGTGATGAATGGAGATAGAGACAGAGACCCATACTGGAGCACTGGACTGAGCTCCCACGGTCCCAATGAGGAGCAGAAGGAGGGAGAACACTAGCAATGAAGTCAGGACCACGAGGGGTGCACCCACCCACTGAGACAGTGGGGCTGATCTATTGGGAGCTCACCAAGGCCAGCTGGACTGTGACTGAAAAAGCATGGGATAAAACCGGACTCTTTGAACATGGCGAACAATGAGGGCTGATGAGAAGTCAAGGAAAATGGCATGGGGTTTTGATCCTACTTAACGTTCTGGCTTTGTGGGAGCCTAATCAGTTTGGATGTTCACCTTCCTAGATATGGACAGAGTGGGCAGGACCTTGGACTTTCCACAGGGCAGGGAACCCTGACTGCTCTTTGGACTGGGGAGGGAGGAGGAGAGGAGTGGGGAGAGGGGGAGAAGGGTGGGAGGAGGGGGAGGGAAATGGGAGGCTGGGAGGAGGCGGAAACATTTTTTTCCTTTTCTCAATAAAAAAAGAGATATGAATAAGAAACAATGATAATTTTCTGTTGAAATCTCCTGTTATTTAAACTTTCTCTGTGTGTCTTGAAAAACAAAGTTACTTTAGAAAAAATAATTGAATAATATCTTCTGAAAATATGGTATATTCAAT